TCCGGTCTTGGTTTAGTGACTTTAAAACGGTAAAGAAAGGACAATGTAAGATGTGGGAAGGGGACCGGAGGGGGGGGGGGGCAATGGGGGGGGTCCCCCCCCCCCCCCCCCCCTCCAACAGGCTCCAGAGGTCCACGTTTTTGTTAACACACGAAATTTATAACAAAGTAGATTAGCGATACAGTGCCTACAATACAATTGCAAAATCGTTTTCAATTTTGCGACAGTTGAACATTTGAACACAGTTTGTGAGAAAATGGGCCGAAGAGAGCAAGAGGAGAGGCCCCCTTCAGATGTTGTCAATCCATAAATACTTCTGTTCGAAAGGTAACTAAAAGTGCCATTGGTGAAGATTTTCCGGCTGCTGGCGCAAATCAGAACTAAGTCTCTTCATTTAAAAATCTTCCAGATAAATCTAAAAGTTAGGGATTACTGGGCATAAGAAAGGGGACGTTCCAGCGGGAGTGGCCTATCAGCGCGCTCTCCTTAAGTCAGATTTCTCTATGATTTTCTTGCAACTAGAAAAATACGACTTTCATGTACTGTTTAACAGACGTCGATCTGGAAGAAGTCGTTGTGTCTACTGATGATGGTATTTACTTTATGTGATACTCTATTTAGTAACAGTGACATCAATAGTATCTTTTTTTGCATTACTCCCCATATGGAAGTATCGGTCTGTTTACAATAAAGTCTTTTACAGTTAAGGGACGGACCATTAAAAAAGTTATGGGGGGAGTGGGGAATTTTTGAGCCGCAGGAATTTTTTGTCGTTATCAAACTCCTTGTATGAATTTTTTTTAGGCCGTAGCATGAATATTTTTTAGGGTTAATTGGCGTGCATGATTTTTTTTTCATTTAATTTCCCCTTGCGCGAATATTTTTTTTGTACCTCGCCCGCCCCCCCATAAGTTTTCTAATGGTCCGTCCCTAAGTAACAATAACGTCTAACGGATGATGTACGCATAATAAAATCATCAAAGATTTTGTATCAAGTTACATTTTTAGTCGAATTCTTGAAAACCTCTTTTTGAACATAAGATTAGTAAATTTCGCTATTATTTTACAAGTATTATTGTTGTCTGCTGTTAATTAATATTTTATTCTGTCAAGGGCAGTAAGATTCACAAAAGCAACATCCTCACTTAAAATGAAATTAATTAACTCCTGTCGCAATACATTGTACCCATTGCAAAACATCAAGAAGTGTTGTTCATCTTCGGCTTGGTCTTGTTTGCAAACCAAGCACTTTCTGTCTTCTACAGGTATGGGAATGCCGCAGATTTCAAATTTTCCAGTTTGTATCCGTCTTGAACTTGAGGAAACAATATATTGGTCATTGAGCCAATCTGAGCTGCTGGCTGAGAACCGCACGGCAGTTCTCCCACGCATACGCGGGGATGGCGGATCAGGAGTTACCCCTTGCTTTTAGTTTGTTCACGTGACACTCCCAATATATGATGCAAATTCTCACACACTAGTCCCGATTTGCTGATACGCGGGTCAGGCCAAGTAAAAAAATGTTTCTCGTCCGGAGAGCGAGCGAGCGAGCGGGCGCAAGAAGAGTGTAGTAAATTCTGTGTACTTGAAAGAGTCTGTCGCCCTTTTTCTCGTTGAGACTTACGACGAGTCTTAGGACTGGGGCTTCAGAAAAAAAAACTCATTACCTAACCTTTAGTTACTAGCGAGGGTTTTAAAACAAAGACACAGTGGGTATAGTTACTTGGCAAATCATTCGGTCATATGTGTCTAGCCTGCGAACATGCCTTCTCCATTTATCTCTGTAATCTGTTCATGGTACATTTCTTTCACAGATCACATGCAAAAAAGCCAGAATCTAGACTTTTCCCTGATTGGATAGGAAACAATACGGATGATTTGCGCTGTTCCAATTGGCCAAAACGCCGCCATCCGTTAGTTGTTGTTGATTTCAGTCTGCATTTTGCTTGCGTAATGAGCAGTTAATACACACGCGAGTTCGTTATGAAATTTCTGCCAACTCAGTTTTCTTGAATTTGAAGAATGTCTAAATAGAAATTTCATACATTGAAATATTTTCAATTTCATCGTTTACTAAAAATTGCTGTCAAAAATTCGCCGATCATTTGAATGCAATTTGATACCGGCTACAAGTTACAGAAGAGACAAACGGGTACACTTTTCAAATAATCAATTCATGAATGGAATCTCGACCTGGTTTTATTGTAGTTCCTCCTTCAGAAACCTGCGAATTAGTCTGAGCAATCTTCGCTTTCAAAGCACTTTTCAGTTTGTGAAATATGATGCTCCAGCCTAATTTTTTTTCACTGCTTTCGCCATAGAACGAAGTCAACGGAGCTTGTAAATTCTTTATCATTTGTTGCTGTTAAATAAAGGTAAAAAAAACAAAAAAACATTTAATTTTTTTTTAGGAAGCTCCATCTGCCCGTACTTAAAATTTTTCTCTTCCCTAAAATTGATTTCGGGGAAAGAGACATTATTCCCACCAAAATTTGATTCCCGTCTGGTAACCGCTGATTGGCTAACAACATGACAGGTCAAGCGGACGTTAGATTATGTAAATTAGGGGCCGGTTGATGGCTTGTTAAATGAATGTATGTGGCGTTATTTTATTCCCTCTCGCGCCAAAGAAGCAAAGAAGCAAAAAATTAATGATAATAATTAATAATAACGCCTGATCTCAGGTTATATGTGTCAGACTTGATCATTTGCAAACGATCAGAACGTTTAAAACATTCATTGTAGTGTCATCTTAATGAAACCAACCAACACCAGGTGGCAATTCAATGAGCAATCATGTTCCAAAGAAGCAATATATGTCTTAAGCTACGGAAAGTATGTTTCAATTTCATTTTATTAAAAAAGTATTCAAGAACAATATATCATGTTAGAAAAGGCAGTTGGTTTGCAAAGGATCGCAAATAAACAGTCAAACAGAAAGAGTTTACTGATAGTTCTGATAGGAGAAGCAGACTATTAGGTTGGACACCAATCCAACTTGTTTTCTGAACTCAAGTAAAAACTATAAAAAACGAACAAATTTAAGTTATAGGACTGGGGGTTTAGAAAAAAAAACTTATGACCTATAAAAAAAAAAACCTTACTAGCTAGGGTTTTAAAACAAAGACACAGTGGTTACTTGACAAATCATTCGGTCACACGTGTCGGACTTGACCAGTTGCAAACGATCAGAACGTTTAAAACATCCATTGTAGTCTCATCTTAATGAAACCAGCCAACACCAGGTGGCAATTCAATGAGTAATCATGTTCCAAAAAAGCAATATATGTTTTAAGCTACAATCAACTCAGAAAGTATGTTTCAATTTCATTTTATTAAAAAAGTATTCAAGAACAATATACTATGCTTTATTAACTCAATGGATGGTGGTATTAAATTCATACCGCGAGGCAGCTATCAAAACGTGAATCATATTATCCCTAGTTTTTTTAGTTTAATATAAAGAAAGTTCATCATTGCTCGCAATTTAATGCGCATTTAATAAACAAGACGATATTTTCTCCCTCCATTAAAACANTTCATTTTATTAAAAAAGTATTCAAGAACAATATACTATGCTTTATTAACTCAATGGATGGTGGTATTAAATTCATACCGCGAGGCAGCTATCAAAACGTGAATCATATTATCCCTAGTTTTTTTAGTTTAATATAAAGAAAGTTCATCATTGCTCGCAATTTAATGCGCATTTAATAAACAAGACGATATTTTCTCCCTCCATTAAAACATAAAGTTGTACTCATAGCATCCGAAATATTCACTTGTTTGGAATTAAAACTATATGTTACTAGAGCCCAGGCCCCCTGCTAGAGCCCGTAATTCAGAATTTAAATGTGACGTCCTCATCACACAGTGATTTGAATATATTTTCATTTAAACCGAAACGCGATAGGTCGGACTAAGTGTTGAAGTTCGACGTCGGTCAAAAAATAAAATGGTTTCGGTAAGTGTTCGTTATTTGTTTTATCAGCCAATGGATGAAAGGATCAAAACATAACCTCTTCGTTTTCCTGCCAAAGAAAACCAGCAGCAGCTGGTTGCAATCAATCGCTAACAGAAAGTCATACACAAAGAAAGAGTTTAACGATGGCTTATAGGAAAAACCGACTATCAAGTAGGAGACCAATCCAATGTATTTATTGGACCCAAGCAAAAAATATGGGGCAGACCTTTTGATAAACAACGATCTATGACGAGTCACAGGGAGAAGTTAAGATAAGAAACTTATTATCCATTAAAAAACTTGCTAGCTAGGGTGTTAAACAAAGACACAGTAGGTAGTTACTTAAACAAATCATGCTGTCTTGGACTGTCTTGTGTGTCAAAGTTTAATCAGTGGCAATGATCAAAATGTTTAAAATATCCATTATAGCCTCAACTTTATGACACCGGCCAACACGACGTGGCAATTCGATGAGTAATCATGTTGCAAAAAGCAATACATGCCTTAATTGGACGACAATCAACTATTTCTCAATTTCATTTTATTGAAAATGTATCGAAAACAATATCATTGCGCGCAATTTAATGCGTACCAAATAAACAAAAAAACTCGCTTATTTCCTTGTAAAATGTCTTCTTATACACGTATACGTGAGGAAGTGGTAAAATGGTTTTTGAATAAAACTGATGTGACAATAACTAGCCTAACCCCCCTCCCTGACAAATGATAAATGTAGGTAGTAAAAACATTAGACTTTATTGTCTTTTTTGGCTGGCACATTTACTAGTGTACCTAGAAGTTACATTGTAGGCCAAAAAAAAAAACTTCAGCGTATATGAAGTGTGCATGTATTGCGTTTTTCTTTGCGTTTAAAAGTTGCTAAATTACCAGAGCATACTTTTCTTCCCTACCCTCCCTCCCTTGAAACAGAATTGTGGGGGAACTTTCATGATTATGAAAGAGCGCTCGTAACGAACAGGAAAATAAATGTGTCGGAGAAAACACATGTTAGTTTAAGAATAGTGGAAATATACGATTTGTAATTTTTTTTTTCATTATCACGGTACCGTTGTTCTGTTATATATCATTGGTTACAATAATTACTTTTTTGGACTCGCTCGTTCTAAATGCCTATGGAAACATTAGGTACGGTCTCGTAAAAAGTTTCACTGACTTTATTGTAAACGCACGTACGTACTGAGACTTGCTTGCAAGACGTTGAACTGGGACATGAGGAAACTGTGTACTTAGGTTCAACCATGGGCCTTATACTTAATTGTTTCGTCAAACATTATGGTTCTAAGTTTTTAATCTCAGAGCAAGAAGCTCTTTGCTTGATACTGAAGCCATATTATGACTGCTTTCTGGTTCCGTAATATGGTATTTTAGTATTATGATGTCATTTAGCTATCGATCATTTGTTCTAATTGGTTGCGCTCTCAGGAGAGCTCTTTCTCCCCCAGTCTGAAACTTTAAAATGTAGTGATCTTATTAGTAATTTCTGGACTCGACAAATTAAAAAAAACCCTGATTAAATGGTATATTTTTACCATTCTTCAAAACATTTTAACTTTTTCACGTGAACTTTATTGATATGAATCAGTTACAAGTATTGTAATATATATTCTCAACAGTATAAACTACTAGTTTTCTTCTCTCTCAACAAATAGGCTGTGTTGTTCTTCTTATCATTATTATTCTTATTAGCATTATTCTTATTATTTTTATTGTAATAATAATAATAATTATTATTATGTGTTGTTGTTGTTGTTGTTGTTGTTATATCGGTAAATCGTTTCGCCACTCTTGGTACATTCAGTATGGAAGATTTATTGACATAGTTTTGATCTCTCTCCTCTTTAGTTAGTTTTCTTCATTGCATGCACATGGTTAACAAAATCTAGTAAACTTTTTAAGACACTTTACTGTACACAGAACTTTTTCCCCGTGAAAATTTGGAAACTCGACCCTCTATTTATCACGTCACTCGTCATTCGTCCTAAACCACCCAGCTTTTTCTTTTTGCCCCCTTTCTGACTTTGATAAATAATACTTTCAAAGTTTCCCGTTATTTGTTAATTATTTCAAAGCAAACTGAAATCTCATGAACTTATACTCACTCGATCATATATTTATCCCTTGGCCTTCAAACAGAGAGTACAAGAAGGTTTCAGTTCTCGTTTATATTTAGTGTCATTTTTCCAACAGTATTGCTGGAAAGCTAATTTTTTCACCACTTAGAGAGAAAAAGGCCGATCAAGTTATTCTCAGTTAGATCCTTTCTTTAGTGGGCAAAAATCGCGAAAATATTTCGAAGTATGTCCATAACAGTTTGTCGAATGTGTCTCATCTTCCAGCAGTAGATCAAGGGATTGAGGGATGAATTGAGATACACAATAGTCAATGTGATATACCATAACTGAGATAACAAGCGAGTTTCATCGTTGACGGCCTTGGCAAAAAGAATACAAGATGCTGGCAAATAGCAAACTAAGTACACGAAATAAACGTAGAATGTAGCCAGTGAAGATTTTTTCAGCCTTGCGGCATTTGCCATATGTTCATTCTGTGTCGCCTGTTGCACTTGCAGAGCGTGAATCTGATTTGTGTGGTGTCTGACGGAAGCGTATATCTTGCAATAAAGCAATCCTGTAGTTATGAGACAAACAACGAAAATGACCGCTCGCATAATAGGATGACTTGGATAGGAAACTGATGCACTAAACACCCAGAAAGAGATCACAACAGCAACAACACGTTTGTGAGTCACAAGCTCCTGATATCTGAGATGAAGTTGAATGGCCAAGAACCTGTCCACAGCTAATGCAAAAACACCAAAATGCGAAGCAAAGACCAATGTTCTTGCCTGGATTGAACGCGCTTTGTCTATTGTATTATAAACAGTACTGTTTTTTTCCATCACAAGAAGTGCAACATACAGTGGTTGGACAAGTAAGCCTACACCCAGATCAGACACAGCCAAGCTTAGTAGCAATGTTTTTAAAGTCTTAGGCAACGACGACGTTTTTCTGAGCGCTTGCATGGTTATGATGTTTAATACGATGGCGGTGAAAGACAAGAAAGCGTTGAAGAAAACAAGAGTCAAATGCAAGCCTTCAGCACTTGCCATCTTTTCTTGTTGTTGTTGTTTTTTACGTAACCCTAATCAGCGTTCAGTTTCTATAATATGCAAAGATCTGAATTTCATTGCTTTCTAGGTTTCATCCGTTTTTGAATGAGACTGACCTTCTGCTTCCACCATTGAATGGAGCGTTATATACAGTGTTAAGTTTTAGCAGCTTTACTTTTGAGGAACTCTGCAATTTTTTTCTTTTTTGCACGAGACTGACGCTGGAAATTACTCTTTGCGAGACTTACTGAATATTCTCCAGGCTTCCTCTTCCGATGGCAGTTGGTTTTTAACTGAGTACTGTTGAGTTATTAAAAAAAGTCCCTAAGTCGTGCTCACAATATCCAAACTCTCACCTTGCTTGAAATTGAAACTTTGCATGTCTGAACCGGGAATTAAAACTTTAAATGTAACGTCATCATCACACAGTAATTAGTATTAATTTTCTTTCAAGCGAAACGCAATAGGTCGTATAAATGTTGAAGTTCGTCAGTTAAAAAGGAAGGAAGTTATATGAAACTACTGATGCAATATTAAATAAGCAAAAGGCAGTTGGTTTTCAATCATGAATCGCAAACATACAGTCAGACAGAACGAGCTGAGAGGTGACTTGAGAGGAAAACGGAATTTTTACGTCGCAAACCAATCCAACAGTATTTGCTGGACCCATGAACACATTTTTTGATAAACTGCATGTTCACGGGTGACTTAAAGAGTGTGAGGCGGCCTAAAGATCAGGGGCACCCAACGAGAATATAGTTCAAAACCACTTAAACATAGCATTGTTAAACGTATTTTAGTATTTAAACGGTAGATATAGGCATATTTTTATCCCCTAAAAATTTTTCATCTGTTCGGATTTCCTAGCTGAAAGTCTAGTGATCCGAAAATTATAGGGATCAAAACTTACCTTTCGAAAATTTCAGCCAGAAACAAGCCTCCCGAAAATTCTAGGTGACCTTTTTATGGTAAAAATCCGTTAGAAATAGGCAATTATACCATTTTTTAGATGCTCGAAAATCCTAGGAGAGGCAGGCAAGCAAGAAATTTTACAACAAATGTTTCGAAAATTCTAGATCTCAAATCGTCTTCCGAACAGATATTCTTCCGAAAATTGTCGTTGGGTGCCCCTGAAAGATACAGCACCCTAGTTACTTAATAAATCATCTGTTCCTTAATAATTAAAGTAGCTAATAAGATGTAAGTCGTATTATATAGCTTCAGTTTAAAATACATAGGCTGAATATTCTTATTTTTCTCTGCCGATTTTGGGCTGAAAATATTCTTGTATTATTCTTTAATTATATTAGGATAAAGTTCGTCAGTCAAATGGAAGTAAGTTATTCGAAACTATTGCCGCGATATCAAAGTAGAAATGGCAGCTGGTTTGCTGTGAATCGTAAACAGAAAGTCAAACAGGAAAGAGTTAAACGATCGTTTAGAGGAAACGCGGACTATTAGGTCTGAGACCAATCCTACATGTTTGCTGGACTTATATAAGCGAAACAAACGCCCATTATTCAAAAATAAATACATGGGCATCCAGAGGCTAAATTGCGTATTTACGAATAAAACTAAGCTAAAAAATAAAATAATTTACCATACATCAATATTAAATATATTAAAAATTCATGCATATAATATATAAAAGCATTCAAACCGAATCATTTAATTGTACTTTTATTAGGCACGATGACAAAATAAAAGTGTTCTTAAAACGGTCCGTTTTCCACTTTGGAAGTGCAAAGTATCGGTGATTTCTTAGTAAATATGGAGCCTTATTGGCTTCAGTTAATAACTTGTTAAGTTTGTTATCCTTGTTGCAGAGGGCAGCGTTAAAAACCTTGTCACATATGTCCTCGCAATATGAAATAATGGTCGGAATACCAGTTTCATTAATTGCCTCTCGTCATAAGACGGACTGGGGAAAATGATTGATAATGCCCTTTTGTTTTAGCAACTGTGACAGACGAGGAGTCTTTTGAGTTGAGATAAGGAACTTGTTCCCCGGAAAAAAATATATATATTACTAGCTAAGCTTTTAAAACATAGATCAGAAAAGTAGGTAGTTAGTCTCGCTTGCGTGCGCGCCAAAAAGGGAATCATGGTCCCAGGCGTTACTAGTGGAGATCGTGGAAACTGAGGATGGAAATTGCTACCAGCTGTCACAACGCCATGCTCTATTTTGTGAAGAAAGTTTAGGAAAAATTGATGCAGGGATGTCGAACTTTCCGTGAACGGGTCGGTCCACGAATTCTATTGCTTGAAAGCGTTGATTACTTTGGAACAAGTGAATGCTTTACGGAAAACTTCGATGGAGAAGCTATAGACTGTTCGGGCGTTGTAAACTTTCATTGTGTGAAAATGAGTCTTGTGATGAGCATGCGGTTTATTTTTGGCGATGATTGAAATGACGCGCCATGTTCATTACGTTTTTACTTTCTAGCAATGATTTGTATTTGTACAAGCGTATATTCTGAAGAAAATATTCATTAAATATTCTGAATTTATTAAATATTCTGAAGAATACTCGACCGTCGCTAAAGCGGGAAGTGAAACCTTTTAGCGAAGAAACCCTGCTTCGCGTAGAATTAATCGCCTACTTATCTGTTATCTAATCTCCAAGCAAGCGAGACTTGCCCTATCAAGAGCGTTTTTGTTGTAAGTTACTAGGGAACATACTACATCATGACTAAAGGCTTGGTTACCAACATGGTGGTATCGCGTGTTATAAATGGCAACGATCGTTTAAGAAGGGAAATAGGCATCGGCGAGGCTGAAGACTTAAATATCTTTTGCCGTTGCAAAATGCTTGAGCAATGCCGTGACTTTACGCTCGCAATAGATGTTAAATTATGTTCATTGAACCAATGTTTAAGGTTGAAAGCTGTGATTCCGTAACTTTTGTTCAGCGGATAGACGCTATAATGTTTTAATACTTTTCTTGCAGACAAATTCAGATCAGGCAAAAAATTTCCAGCTTGAAACCTCCGAAAATCTTCATGCCCCAATAGAAGGTTAAGGTTCTACAAGGCTAGCTGTGCATAAACAAAGCTTTTTAAATCTCCTGAGACAAAATGGCAGCCGCGTGACAAAGGTCTGTTTTGGCGTTTTTGACGTCTTGGTTCACCACAAACATTTTATGCGAAGCTCTCACGCGCCTAGCGGTGCACCATGGGTAAGAATTTTGGTTCACTGCGCATAAATAATCACGTGAGCGTACGCACGCCCTTCCTCACCACAGGCATACCAATATAAAATAACTCAATCAGCGGGTATGGCAAATGCAACACGGGGTTCTTCGGCGGGAAATTTTAAGTCCACCCCGACTTTTTAGAGAGAGAAAGTCCATCCGGACTTAGACGAGAGAAAAGCCAACAACAAACTCAAGTCCGACTAAATTTTAAAGTCTTCAATGACGTCGACAAAAAAGCTAAAGCGTTAGACAAAAAACAACAGACAAATTTCGTTGGAGGAAAAACATAGAAATTGGCGGTGAGAAAATGAGAAAAAGCGGCCAAAAAGGTGAAAATGAGCGGCAGTGTAGAAAAAAAGTGAACAGGAACACGACAAAACATCGGTGAGCACATACGACATTTTCCAACATAAAATGAGTTAGGAAGTTTTACATTGTAGTCGTGCAAACCATGATCAAACAAATGTACAAAAAAGTGTGCTGCGCAAGTGCAAGGTTGTTGTTGTTTTTTGCTAATAGAGAGGAGATAGAGAATACTTCATGGAAAGTGCTGGAGTACCGTATTTACACACGAGTTGTTTTTGTATCAGAAATCGAACGAGTGAGCGCAGCGAACGAGTGAGATTTCTGATACAAAAACAACGAGTGGGTATATACCGTACGAAGCACTTTACTTGTGGTATTGTGTTTCTTGTATACATACTGAGACATTCATCATTTTGGTGGCCTTTTTATTTTAAATCTTTCCAAAGTGCTTAAATTTGCCGCTACACACCACGAAATAACAATGAAGACGAAGTATCAGCCTTTTAGTAGAAACGTTTCTTAAAAACATAAATGACGGTAAGGATATGAAGTAATCCAAGAACTACAAGTAATCTTAACTGTTCTGAATGTACAATTGAAAATGAGTGAATTTAAGTAAAATAGTCGGTTTCAATATAAGCTTAAGCTTATAAATGGAAGACAAAGTAGCTCCGACAAAAACCACAACATAAGCTTACGTCTTGTTCTGTTTTTCCCTTCCGCTGTTGTTTCGCCAGCTCTCCACAGTTTCCTTATCGACAGTGAAACAAACGATCGAAACTATTCCACTCCATTTCTGAAATGTTTTTCATTTTTTTAACGAGAAAAAACACTTTGAGAAAAACTTTTCTCCTCGAATGTGTGCGAAGCGGCGCTCAGCAAGCTGTACGAAAAGGAGGGAATTTTGGCGGGAAACTCGCACACCTCTGTGGCTTCTGATTGGACGTATCATTTTTCCCACATGTGGAAAAACATCTTTCGCGATTCTGATTGGGCGTATCATTTTTTTTCACGTGTGAAAACCATAGTTCACTCCTCTGATTGGCTAGAACTCATTTGCGTATCAAAATTTACAACACAACTTTTTGGTGAGTATTTCTCAGTATGTATATAATTAAAGTCTTTACCCCACTTGGCAAAGTAGCATAATTTTGGGATCAGACAACAAACCAAAAACGTCACTTAACTAAGTAAATTCGCACTGTTTCAAATTTCATCAAACTTATTCAGTTTCATTTAATGTGTTTAATGTTGACAAAATTCTCTGGGGTTGAATCCGAAAGGACCGTATCTGAGTTAAGAAAAGGAAAATTTTTGTGCTGTGTTGACCAACACCATAGAAGGGGCGGGTGAAATAAGGAAGTTCCATATGTCGCAGTCGTGCAACGACTGCTAAGAAATGTAGCCAGAAAAAACCGTGATGCACGTGCAAAGTCCTTGTTTTTGCCGTTCTTCTTGTTTTCGCCGTCGTCCTTGCTTAAGCTCTTCATTGTTGTTA